ACTGGTTCAAAAAACACAGTCTCACACAGTTAAAGGCCTTCAAGTGTACAAGAAAGCCAGCTTCAGGAAAACTGGCTGGGAAGAGAAAACTGGATGTTTTAGGGAATATACATTCCCTGGTTGCTTGCCCTGAAGATCTCAAATCTGGGGTGATGGAAAAGACCCCCAAGGTACCATGTGACTCCAATCCTGGGAGAAGGTGGATGCTTGATGGAGGCAGAGGGGGCTGAAGGAGGGGGAGGCCTCTGGCACACTCCTGGAAGAGAAAGCTACCAGCGCCGTCAACGGGGCTTCGGGGGCGGGTACTTCTTCTCCAAGTACTCCCCTCAAATCCCCATATTCAGAAAGTCTTCCACATACCCAAGAAGCCTTAAATCACAGTGATGAGAGCTATTAAACATTCTGTTTTACTAACACAAGCACTTCCTCCTAACTGGAATGATGATTATGTGTAAAATGGACATAAGTCAAAAGGAGACCAGAGCGAGTTCTATCTACTGTACTGCTCGTCCAAAGATAAAATTCAGGAAGGAAAATGAAACCTCCCAGCAGGAGTGTGGGAGGAATGGTTTAGGTTTCTTTTATTTGGGCTAAACCTGTAGTTCTTTTCCTACGATCCCAAGGCAGGACTTTGGTCCAGGTCAGTAGATCTGTCTTTGTGGGGAATTCTTTTCCTAGCCCCTCCTCGTTTCTCTCCCCACCCCCACATTATCCAAGAAGAGAGTGAGACTATCTACTGTCTAAGCCTATGGGAGGCCAGGAGGCAGCCTTCGCCTGATCCTGTCCCGGACACCAGAGCCAGCACTGCAGCCGCTCACATGGACTGCCCCCACCAGGCCAGGGCGACCTCCTGGGACATGCTCGAGACCAGCAGAGGGGCCCTGGGGAGCACTCCTGCACCACCATCTGAGCCTGGTCCTTCTCCTCTGTGCTCCCCCAAGGGCTGTGCCCGCAGCGGGTGAGGCAGTGGACACCCCTTGTCTTCCCTCCATACCACACACCGGTCTGGGAGCGCTGAGATATCACAAAACATACCTCATGCCTGTGAGAGGCTCACAGCCTGGTGAGTAGGACACAGGTAACAGGACCATGAGGGAAGCAGGAGGTTGGGGCCAGGACCCTTGGGGGAGGGGAGAGAGGCTCGAAGGACCAGGAAGCTGGGCCTGAAGCTGAGAGCCATCCCCTGCCCTAATTCCATCATGCGTATCCAGAACCTGCTCATGCCTCTTTTGGCAAAAAAAAAGAAAAAAGAAAGTGGGAGTCAGTCTACTCTGGACACTCCTTGGGCCATATGCCTGAAAAACATCACCAACAGCCTCACTGCCACCACCAGCCTGGTGGGGATGATCTGCTCCTCTCTCATGTTCAGTGAAGAAGTTCAAGGGCACAGGAGTGATGGGGAAGAATCTTGACTCCCCTGTACTGGCTGGCACCCCCAGGCCCCACCAGAAAAGTAGTTAAATGAGGAGGAGCTCTAAGTCTGCTTCAACAGAAGCAATAGGGCCAGGTAGGATGCTCAAAGGAGTACTTTAATATTTGCAAATGAGGTGACCTACAGGGCTCAATTTCCAAAATATACAAACAGCTCATACAACTCAATAACAAAAAAACAAACAACCCAATCAAAAATTGGGCAGAAGACCTAAACAGACATTTCTCCAAAGACAGACAGATGACCATTAGTTACATGAAAAAATGCTCAACATCACTGATTTTTAGAGAAACCAAAGTCAAAACTACAATGAGGTATCACTTCATACTGCTCAGAATGGCCATCATTAAAATGTCTACAAACAATAAAAATACTGGAAAGAGTGTAGAGAAGAGGGAATCCTCCTTAGCAGTTAGTGTGAATGTAAATTGGTGCAGCCACTATGGAAAACAGTATGGAAATTCCTCAAAAAGAAAACAAAAATTGAGGTGCCATATGATCCAGCAATCCCACTCCTGGGTTTATACCCAGAGAAAACACAAATTTGAAATGCCATTCACAACCCAATGTTCACAGCAGCACTATTTACAATAGCCAAAACATAGAAACAACCTAAATGTCCATCAACAAATGAATGAAGATGTGATATATATACATAATGGAATACTACTCAGCCATAAAAAGAATCAAATAATGCCATTTGCAGCAACATGGATGAACCTAGAGATTACCACACCAAGTGAAGTCAGAAAGAAAAAGACAAATACCATATGATATCACTTACATGTGGAATCCAAAATATGATACAAATGAATTTACTTACAAAACAGAAACAGACTCACAAACATTGAAAACAAAGTTATGGTTACTGAAGCGGGGAGAGGAGAGGGGAGGGATAAACTAAGAGTTTGGGATTAGCAGATGCAAACTATTATATAGAGAATGAATAAACAGTAAGGTTCCACTGTACAGCACAGGGAACTATATTTAATATCTTGTAATGGAAAAGAATATGAAACAATATGTATATATATGCATAGCTGAATCCGTTTGCTGTATACCAGAAACTGACACAACATTATAAATCACCTATATTTCAACTAATAAGACCAGTTTCAAGTCACAGCTGACTATCAGCATTAACTCAAGTGAGTTTTCAATCACTAACACGTAAGACCTGGACAAACCCATCCTCCCTCAAGGTGGGCAGCCCAACAGTGAACTAATATGACATGGTGAGGAACAATTAATGGGCAGCTGCCTGCCCTGCTCCTTTGAGTGGCTGAAGGAGAGATTAGAACATTCTTATTTACACACAAAAGGTCGAGGATTCTCAGGTAACTGAGCTGGTTGAGTTTATACTGCTCTCAGAAATCCTCCCTGCCAGAAATTAACCAATGAGGTCAAAGCCATTCCCCTAAGCTACAAGCAGAACTGACAACCACTGGCACCTGCAAAGAACAAAGAAGCCGAATTTTTACTGCTGCTGCTGCTAAGTCGCTTCAGTCGTGTCCGACTCTGTGTGACCCCACAGACGGCAGCCCACCAGACTCCCCCGTCCCTGGGATTCTCCAGGCAAGAGTACTGGAGTGGGCTGCCATTTCCTTCTCCAATGCGTGAAAGTGAAAAGTGAATGTGAAGTCGCTTAGTCGTGTCTGACTCCTAGCGACCCCATGGACTGCAGCCCACCAGGCTCCTCCGTCCATGGGATTTTCCAGCCAAGAGTACTGGAGTGGGGTGCCGTTGCCTTCTCCGAGTTTTTACAGCAGGCCTCACTAATTCATTTAGCCACCACCTTCAGAAAAGGACTAAGACCCTTATTACCTGGTCTACCACTCCTACTCCTTGCATGTTAACTGAACCACCAAGATCTGGATTTCTTTTCCAGATACCTTGATATGCTTGCACCTTAGGCCATACTGTTCTGGGGAGAAAACTAAGGGAAGCAGAGGAAAGCCACAGCCCTGACAAGCAATGCAAAACAGAGATGGACTAGTAGGTACAGGAAAAAAGATAAGATAATTGGACTGGAATACAGCCACCCCCTCATGAGGAAAAAACGGAATAGCTAATGACTTTTTAAGCAGAACTCCACAGACACTGGGTAAAAATGCACTCGATGTGAGACCTGTCAGTGCACGGACCCAGGGACTCCACTAAGGAGACTCCCCTCCCTCTACAGGGTTGGATAGTGTCTCCCCAAAATTCATGTCTACCTAGAACCTCAGAATGGCTTTATTTGGAAATAGGGTCTTTTCTGATGTAATTAGTTAAATTAAGATGAGGTCATGCTGGATTAAAGCAGCCCCCATTCCAACGACTGGTGTCCTTATAAGGCGAGAAAACAGAGGCACAGACAGACATACCGATAGAACACCATCTGCCCACAGAGGCAGAGAGACAGAGTGATGCATCCACCGGCCAAGGAAAGCCAAGGAGTAACACGGCCCTGCTAACACCTTAATTTCGGACTTCCAGCCTCCAGATTGTGAGAGTGCACATTTTTATCATGTCCCCAGGTTTGTGGTACCTTGTCCAACAACCCTAGGAAACCAATACACACCTTTTATTTCACACCTGTTCCCCAAAACACCCTTCCCAGTTTCAGCCCAGGGGCAAGAGACAAGACACACAGGCCATACTTCTAACCCACTTGGACTCCGCCACCTTCCAGAGCCCATCAGCACTTCTCCCCTTAAGGAGAGGGGGGGAGCAGAGATCATATTTCAGCTCTCCCCACCTTCTGCCTGCGGAGGCACACCGGCAGGGGAGTGCTGGCTTTCTCCCCACAGTTTTTTTTTTTCCATTTATTTTTATTAGTTGGAGGCTAATTACAATATTGTAGTGGTTTCTGCCATACATTGACATGAATCAGCCATGGATTTACATGTGTTCCCCATCCTGAACCCCCATCCCATCTTCCTCCCGATCCCATCCCTCTGGGTCATCCCAGTGCACCAGCCCTTCTCCTCACATTTTCCTAGTGTTGCAGCCTCTCCTTTAGATCAGTGTTTTTAAAATCTTATTCAGTCCCATCCTAGATATATTTGGGGTGTGGCATTACTACATATGCCTTCGTCTAGCATTAACCTAACTGTCCTTTATATCATGTCACTACTTTTACTTAAACAAACTTATATTTAAAGGAACTGCTATATCGTTACAATAATTGGAAAATCAGCACCATTTATTTTACGCAGAGCTTGCTAGATACATGTTTTTAAATTGCACATTAAATACACGATAACTTTTTTTTTTAAAGTCCGTTCATGTATCCTTTAAAATAATGTCGGGTGACAATACTATGGGAAATACCACCTTAAGGAGTAGAGTTTAATTGTCTAAGAACTCTGGGCTCCTATGCAGAGAAATCAATTTAAGCTCCGCAGTCCCGTTTCTCATTCCCCTTCTCCCCGCGACGGTCCCAGAAGGAGGCTAAGAGCAGAAGGAAAGAAAGGCACCGGGAGTTCCTAGTTCCGACGCAGTGCGACCTGAGGATATGGAGTCAAGAGCGAAAGGGACTTTAAATACTCAGTCCTGCGAGTGACAAGGACGGGGAGGGACTGACCTTCTCGCGCAGGGTGCAGTGGACGTCCGAGGCGACGCGCCCTTCCCACCACGGCTCATCCATCATCTCGTCTGCAGCGCCGCTCTCCGAGGCTACCGGGCTCTGAGGGCGCACCCTGAGTGGGCACAGGCAAATTCAGAGCCCGCAGCGCGCCCCCCAGCTCCTACCCCGGCATCCCCATCCTCTCTTGTCCTCGGCCAGGGGCTCTGCCGGGCGCCCCCTTCTGCCCCACTCAGCGGAGGGCGGTCGCCTCCCATCCCAAGAAGGTTGCAGCGTCCCCTCCCCTTTACTCGCGGAACCTGAGGCGACCTGGAGCTCTGCAACAACTTGCAGAATTTTTATCTTCCTTTTTGCAAAAGTTGCACAGAAAGTTGCAGACTCCGCTAGCTCTCCAGAGGCCCGGGCTCCGACAGCGGCCACCGGCTCGCCGTCCCCAACTCCTCCCCCGCCGCCCAGCCTTTGTCCTGCTCCCACATCCTGCCCTCCAGCCGGGGCGAAACTCACGCATCCCTCTCCGGAGGTGGGGGGCTGCGGACGTCGGGCCCTTCTCCGGGCCGAGCCGGCTGTGCCCTCGGGTGCCTGCAAGCGAAGGGGCCCCTGGCGCGGGGCGCTCCAAGCTCTCGACGGCCGCCTCCGTAGCCCTGCTCGTCCCTGCTGCCGCCGCGCCCCTGTGTGCGCTCGGGTCCCGCCGCGGCTCGCAGCCTCCCGGCCGCCGGGGGCCTCCCTCCTTCGCTGGGGGAATTGGGGGCCGGGCCTCGCGCATGCGCCGCCGGCCCCCGCACCCCGCGGGGCGGGGGGCTGGGAATTGGAGTCTTTCTTTCGCCCGAGCTGGCTGCTTTTCCTGTCCGCACTCCACCCCCGCCCGGGCGGAAAGCTTCCTCTCACCTTCGCGGGGGCTCCCGGTGGTCGCGGGAACTCCCGGTGGTCTCTTGGACACCCGGTATGCTCACGCGGTCAGTGGTGGGACCGCGGCGCCACCTGCGCGCGCCACTCGTGAAAGGCGCGGGCAGGATGCCCCCAGAAAGTTCGGTCTCTCGCGTGCGCTGTTGTAGCCTACCTTTAGTAAGTTCCACCAGTTTTTTCTTTTTAACTAGCTCTGCAATGCGGAGGTGGATGTCTAAAGGTAAAATTCCCACGGAAGCCCCCCAAACCCGCTCTTGATTATCCACGAGTCCCTGTTTCTAAGGGAGGCTCAGTAAATCAACGGATTTTGTTTTTGTTCTCCTGCAAAGTATAGATCTACTCGTTACTTTGGGAGAAAACCAGTGTTTCTGGAGGGTCAGGTGGATGGAAAGCATTGCCTTTTTAATTTAGTTTTACTTTGTTTTCGGAAAGACACTCCCTTGAATCAGCCCTCTGATGGAACAACAGATTGATTGCTTTTTGTGATTCTTTTGGAGATTCACAGACTCGTTTCAAATCCAGCTACCGACTGGATGACTTTTGCCATGTTCCTTAGACTGTCTAAGCCTGGGAACCCTCATGTGAAAATTGGGAATAAAAATTGCACCAATCTGCTGGAGATACTGCATCACTAAATAAGATAATTCGTATAAAGGGATAATGCCCATGACAAGTATAAAACACTCAATAACTAGCTGCTACTAAGGAGGCTTTGGTTTCTGACTAGTTTCCTACAGGCAGGTACCCACCTGGAAAGAAAATTTTAAATCAGCTTTGATAAGCTTCAATAGGTGCTTAAAGAGAAGTTTTAGTGTTTAAAAAAAAAATAATCACCTTGTAAAAGTGAAAAATATCAAGGAATAAGCATTAATAAATACAGGCTCTTAATAAAGACATTATAAAGGTTGATCAGAATAAGAAAAGTTTGAGGAAATAGAAAAAGGTGAAAATACCAACTGTACACAAATTAACTCTTTTAATAAAATTCTAACGATTGTGTGTAGATGGCGGGTAGGGGAGGGGTGACAACACTTCTTTTTCTAACACTTAAAAGGAAGAATAATGAGTAAGGCTAAGATTTTTCTCTTTTAAAAATGAGGGATAGAGCTATATATTGCCAAATCTTAAAACATATCACAGATCTATGATTCAAACAGTATGGTGTTGACACAAGAATGGGTGGATAAGTATCAGTGGAATAATCGAAAGTTTAGGAATATATCCCACATACTTAGAAACTATGATAAATGTGGCATCCACTTTTAAGGGGAAAAGGTTAAATTCTTCAATAAACTGGCTAGGGGAAATAAGTTAATTTGAGGGAAAAAAAGTAAAATTAGGGATTTATTTGAACCATCATCAAAATAAATGTAAGAACCTGTCAACTGACAAAACTAAAACAATTTAGTGATGGTTTGATGTTATTTATTTAAGGGAAAATAGTTCATGGATTGGGAGAGTACAGTGCCTTACAAACAGTGGAACATTCTTCCCAAGGAATTTTGAGCAAAAGTGAATTTTATATGCATAATAATGGAATCTAGAAAGTTAGTACTGATGGTCCTCCTTGCAGGCCAGCAAAGGAGACACAGACATAAAGGACAGACTTTGGACACAGTGGGGAAGGAGAGGACCAGATGGGATAATTTGAGAGAATAGCCTTGAAACATATATATTACCATATGTAAAGTAGATAGCCGTGGGAGTTTGGTGTCTGACTCAAACACCTTGAGGTGATTGGCAGGGAACCCAAAGCTCTGTGCTCTGTGATAACCTAGAGGGGAGGGATGGGGAAGGAGGTGGGAGGGGACTTCAAGAGGGAGGGGACATATGTACAGGCATGGCCGATTCGTGTTGACATATACCAAAAACCATCACAATATTGTAAAGTAATTATCCTCTAATTAGAAATTTTAAAAGAGAGATAGTTTTATAGAGTGTTAGAAGGAGGAGGAAACAGGGCATGATTGACAAGGAGGTCCTGTTTTTTAGGGTAGGGTGAGCCAGTTTTAGCTCACTTGGAGGACTCTGATTGCTGTACTTAGGTTCCCTAGACAGTGAGATGTTTCCAGTCAGTGTGGGCTGACTTAGGTTTAGATATGTGATGTAGGCCAGACCACTGGGGTGGCCTCCACGTAACGAATTAACTTTATCAAACCCAAAGAACTACAAACAAATGACAACCTCCCCCATTTAAAAAAAAAAATCACAAGATAATTAAAAGTAAACATAGGTGAATTATTTCAGATGAGGTCTAGAGGTTAAGGCACAGGAAGAAACAAAAGGCCAGGATGAGTATATATAGATCTGAATAAATAAACCCAGAGAATCCCATGGACAGAGGAGCCTGCGTCCATGGGATCACACAGCCAGACACAACTGAAGTGACTTAGCACTCAGCACTCAGTCATCAAATATCACCAAAAAGGCAAATGATAAACTGGAGAGAATGTTGTTAACAAATGTTACAATGGTTGATCTTACCATATAGACCTCTTGTAAATCACTATGGAAAACACTAACACCTGAAATGCAGGAACGGATGAACAGGCATGCATGAAAGAGGAAATTCAAGGGGACAATTACCATTTTTAAATAAGCTTTTTTTAAATGCTCATACTCACTAGCCAAGACATTAAACATGTTTTAGAAACAGGATGTATCTCTGACAAGAATTTTTTAAAGCACAATATACAGGATTGACAAATACAGTGTTGGTGGGAATGAAAATTAACAGCATCTTCTAATAGACAATATAATTGTATTCAGGCGCAGTTCTAAGCTGACTGGGAAGCAGACGACACAGCCTGAGGTTCCTGGGCCATGCGTGACCCACAAAACTGACCCACATTCTCCCCTGCACCAGGGCTTCCTCCACTTCATAGTGAGCTGAGCGTGCATCTTATTCCTGGAAGGTGCCCGGCCTTCGGTTAGGTGCCTGGCCCTCAATTCTTCATCAGAGACAAAGATCGCTGTTTGCAACGCTCAGCTAAAACCATTTACAGCCTTTCTGCACATAGATTATAGTCACTTTTCTCTCCAAAACCTTAGGCTTTTGCGTTTTTGTCTTTTTTTTTTACTTTCACTGATACACTTGATTATTGTCTTTTATATTGAGATGCTGGAAAAGCAGGAGGTAGTTGTGCCTCATCTATTATTCTAAAAATGTAACAATAAACTACCTCAAACTAAAAAAAAAATCTTAAAAATGTATCACTGGATCCAACTATTTCACTTCTGGAAATTCACTCTAAAAAATAAGCATATGAGTACAAAGATTTCTTTACAAAGGGTTTCATCACAAAGCTTTTCCATTATAGTGAACAGGGACTGGTTAAATATTAATTTGGCTCAACGTTTTTTAAGAGAATAAATAATTATTTGAGAAAGTGTTCACAAGATATTAAGTGAAAAAGGAGATTAGATTATGATCCCAATTATACATTATGCTCACATACACACACTCAAAAGAAAAAAAAGTCCATAAAAACATTCAGTCAGTTCAGTTTAGTCTCTCAGTCATGTCAGACTCTTTGTGACCCCATGGACTATAGCACGCCAAGCTTCCCTGTCCATCACCAACTCTAGGAGCTTACTCAAACTCATGTCTATCGAGTTGGTGATGCCATCCAACCATCTCATCCTCTGTTGTCCCCTTCTCCTGCCTTCAGTCTTTCCCAACATCAGTGTCTTTTCCAATGAGTCAGTTCTTTACACCAGATGGCAGAAGTATTGGAGTTTCAGCTTCAGTATCAGTCCTTCCAATGAATGTTCAGGGTTGATTTCTTTAGGATTGACAGGTTGGATCTCCTTGCAGTCCAAGGGACTCTCAAGAGTCTTCTCCAACACCACAGTTCAAAAGCATCAATTCTTTGGTGCTCAGCTTTCTTTATAGTCCAACTCTCACATCCATACACGACCACTGGAAAAACCATAGCTTTGACTAGACTGACCTTTGTTGGCAAAGTAATGTCTCTGCTCTTTAATATGCTGCCTAGGTTGGTCATAGCTTTTCTTCCAAGGAGCAAGCATCTTTTAAAACATGACCCAGTGTAATCAGAGTGGTAGTATTATGGGAAATTTTAACTTGGTTTTTATTCTAGTATATCTGCGTTTTCTAAATTTTCTTTAAGAAACATGCATTACTTTCACAACCAGAAAAA